GAATGCGATGCGCTGCCAGTGTAACAGAAAAATGTGTCTGTCTCGCCGTTATACCCAGCGATAAGTATGTATATACACGAGTCGCGCGCATACTGCACGGTCGAAAAGGAACGAGAAAAAGGGAGAGAAACAGCCTTTAGAAGGCTTGCATACAGGCCGCTTCTAAAATAGGTGGCCCCTAAGTCTAGAAAAATATGAACAATGTTTCGCGATCAGGATCGACAACGTATTCCAACGGGTCGCAAACGTCAACTGTCGAAACTTTCGTTATGTTGCAACGTGTTTTATCAATTTGCCGACAAACTCAAACACGTACAGTTAAATAAATACACCGATCGATGCGACGCGTGCATCGGACATTTTTTTCATCGCTCAACAATGACATTCGACGCACTTCATTTTTTTTACCATATGCTCGAAAAACGCGGCAATTTTGAATGGGTTATTTTCGTAAGCACTGACAGGACACGTAACTGGAACCGTGCACGAGACATTGTTCATTTTCAAAACATCCTGTAGACAGGTGGAGGTGTACGAAGAATCCATATACACCGTTGATCGGGTTCAACGAAAAGGAGTTCCTAGATTCGCCGGACCAGAGCAGACGACGACTTTCGAGCGGTGGAAACACAATGTCTGACACAGTTTTCTGGCTCCGTTGAAAGGCGAAAGGAATGTTACGAGAGACGATACGATTATCTGTCGAGCGAAGTAGACGAGAGCGTCTCGTATAGTTTCTAGATGGATAGTAGCGGAGTAGATGTAGTAACAATAACACAGCGCGCGCAAACAGCACGATGAAAATTCACTAGGATCGAAAATGATAAAGAGATGCAACAGCCACCGGTTAGCCCTGTTGCGAGCTCCTTAATTCTCTGACGAGTGCAGAGAGAACTCAGGGACGACATGAATCAGGAATGACATTGGCTCGTATAAACTTCAAATCTCGGTGACGCGCATATAGACGCGGATTGCGCATGTATATATGTACTAATATACGTGTACATATATATATTTATCCACGTATAAGTGGTATGTATACACGCATGTACGATGTATATACATAGTGGCAGGATGGGAGGGGAGGGGAGTGCCGCGATACACACAACACCGACGTCGACAACGAACGATCGAGTTCTGCCCACGGGAATTCTCTCTGATATATAGGTTAACCCGGCCGACTTCTTACTCGCAACGTAATGCGGTACCGTTAAACAAGTCACTAGACAACTGGCTTCCGTGTTGCGAAGCAGAATCCTTCGAATTGTCTCTTTCTGTATACACTTCGAAGTGGAAACACGATAAGTAAAAAGATATGCGCTCGGACTGGTTAACGAAGACTAGTGGGCTCTCACTGGAGATCACTCACCAGTGCGAAGAAATTCGTGTGGCAGTCCTCCAGGCTAGCGCCGTTCGTTTGATGCGACGGATGCGTCATGGCTTCTCCATCGTACGCCGTACACTCATTAGCAACACTTCTCGCGGCGGCGCGCCTCTCTCAGCCCCGAAAATCACACGGCGAGGCCGCTATTATTCGAGAACATTTAGGAGGGTTTTCACTTCTCAATGGCGACCGTAAAATGGCGGACGATGGGAAACAACAAGCGCAGCCGCCCGAGGCGCCTCCTACTGCTCAACTCGCGCAGTTCCCTTCAACGACGAGGAAGAAGATGGCGGCGCTCATCAGGCATGGTTTACTCGCGAATCCTTTTAAAAGTTCATCCACTATTCTTGTTTCAAACACGGTCAGTGTCGACACTTCACGTACACTTTTCAATCACCTTCGTTACACTACACTCCTCCAAAGGAGTGAAACTGTTTAAATCGTATAGAACGCGCACTAACCAGACCGTCGTCATTTTACAGACGAGTTTCAGATACGATGTGACGCGATTTAAGAGCTGCAAGAAATCGAAACCGGTTAAAAAATCGGCTCCCACTTTCAAAGACGATACCGCGTCCCTATCTACCAAAGGGTGAGTAATACAGTCAGCTTACGCACGAATTCGATCGAAATATTCGCGTTACGTCGCGTTGCTGGCCAACTGACAGAGGACACACTGCGGCCATATTGCCGTTTACCACCTCCCTTTTACGTGACAACCAATGAACTGTTGTATCTGACAGCTCTCAGGGATGACACGAGGGTCCCCGGTACCCTTGCGCTTTACATGCAATTCTTTCATAAATACTCGTACATGACTGGGGATGAAATTGTCATAATTTATCTAAACATGTTTCAATTAATAAACAGCCTATTCTTATGAAAAAAATTCGGCTTCTACAAATTGAACACTTTTTAAATTGGTGATGCATCGCGTAAACAATAAAATACATAAATGCAACGTATTAATTATTGATGTGACATGTATAATTAGTAGAATACTTTTGTAGAAAATTTGAAATAGCTATACTTTAAGAATCTGTGTATAATTATTGTAAAATTCAAATCAATTTCCATTTTATTTAATGACACATCAAGTTTTAGGAATGTCATTCGATTCAGATTCATGAGTATCTGCAAGCTGATTTTCATTCCATCTTTACACGTGACGTAACGTCTGCTGCCATACCCTTTTGTACCGCTATATCAGATTTTCCATAAACCAAGAGAAATCTTTCTAGCCACGTTACCTATTTTCCTTAAATGAAGTTTCTTCATTTAATTACCAATTATAAAAATTGTAAATGCACGAACAGTTTAGTTGTTGCATATTGTCATTGCCCGACTGTGCCAGTTTTCATTGAGAACACCTGTTTCGAAGAGCAAGTTTCTCCGTCCTTGTGATTAACATTGACAAACTATCGCCCGTTTCTCGTTACATGAATTGAGACGTAAGAATGAAAAAAAAATATATATATATATCAAAGACAAAACGACACATACGCGTACGATTTTTTCGATCAATCGGTAGCAGCAGCGTCGAGTCAGTTACATTTCTAAATAAAATCAAATAGATACGACAGTTTCAAAGCGGGACGAAAGGTTTTCTAAAATATTAGAAACTTTCGTAGGCTACAGGGTTTTTCCACGATGCATTTCGTTCCTGGCTAGTATTGGCCATAACCGTATCCTCAGAAAATACAACTGGGGGCACCACTGTACGGTCGTTGGACATCGATCTTGTCCCCTTCTCACCCTCTTCTCTCTTTTAAGGGAAGCCTCCCTTACCGCGCTTCGTCCGGTAACCGGAGTCTTTTACACATTACGAAAAGTTTGGCGCGAGTCGTGTCGAGATAATCTACAAGAGACGATATTGATTTTCAAAGCGTGAAATCAATGGCTATCGGCAGAGATAGTTTTTGGAAAAACCATTTAGTAATGCCCGTGGTATCTTTTTATGAAAATACTTGTGTTATACGAACGATATGTCTTCTCTGTTGTTAGGTACAATGAATTTTCTTCAATGAAAATTGACCAACTGTAAAAAATCAATCATATTATAAATGATATTCGAGAGAATATTAAATTTGTTTCATACTGTTTTGCCTACGTACGTCGATTGGCGTAGTTCCTGATCGATCCGCGTTCGCGGTGAAGAATGAAAACAACAAGTTGTTTATTTGATAAAATTCATTGTTTCCGGTGTAAATATGTAGAAGAGGAATATTCATCGAAAAGAAATAAATCATGCGTTAATTAAGTGTCGTTTTAGACAACATAACTTTCCATCTCGACGACTTAATTCTAACTGGCTTCGCTTCTTCAGCAGACTTTCTAAATTTCAGGAAAGTCCAGTCTGTCTTTGCGAAATCTTGTAAATGTCATTTAATCATTTATTATGATTTTATATTTTATAAAAATAATTCTATAGAGTTTCAAAAGTTGATTTGTTTTGCGCGGTAAAATTATTGGCAGTGGGCGTATTATTGAAGTACACCTTTCGGGAAGCGGAAGTGCTAGGTACTCTTCGCAAAATCGATATTTTCAACATTCGGTACAGTTGAGGTAAAAATGGACTTCCGATAAATGAAACTAAATTTTTAGAAAATTTTTTTACCGTTCCTTATATCATTAAATAATAATGATAATTTTTATAAAAAATAACTTTCGTTTTGAATAAAATGAGAGATATAAATAACATTTACAACTGTTTCAGATTTCTGAGGTATCGGAAGGCATACAATCCACCGGATGATGTATCCAATCGCATAAACAAAATATGCGAGGAACAAAGCATTTCGGCGAGCAACGAGACAAAAATCAACGATCCGTTGCAGCGTTTTAATCTCTTCCTAGCGTGTGAACGAGAATTTGATCATTTATTGAACAATTCTAATTTATGTTTCATCGAAACAATTGGTAAGAGGGGTGTCTGTAGATTTTGTTAAAGTTCGATCCTATTTCATCATAAATATCAGCAATTGAAGCTGTTTTCCGGTTTCCTTCAATTATCAAGTCATTTTCTACTTTGAAAGATTACTTTATCAATATTTTGTTGCAGCCGACTTGAAAGAATATTATCAGACACCAGTCGGAAATGCGACTCCATGGGAAGTAATGCGTAAAATGGATCTGCCACCGAATTTGCATATTAATTACGATTATGTTCGATTCCATCCTGGTATGTTGTTTTCAAAAGCGCGATGATATTCAAATTTAATTTTTTTTCTTAGCAAATTTACGGAAAATAATATTGAAAAAATTTCAGATACGGATACAATCTTTAATGGAAAAACAGCATTCCCAAAGAGTTCCACTTTGGTAACTGGTCTGAAGTACAAGAAGAAATACCCTGGACACCAACAGGAGGATCCTTACCTGGAACATATGCTTAAGATTTAAGTATTAGAGAACATACATGTATAATTATTAAGTGTATAATTGAAATATAAATAAACCTGTTCTTTATAATATTCTGCTTCTTATATTAAACCTGTAACAATTTGTAAAACACTTTGAAAGACCAGTTTCAAATGATAGTAATAACTGAAGGTAAAAAGTCTCTAGCTTCGTTAATCGACCCATCAACGTTTACGTTAGCAACCTACCTCCAAGACGACCAGCAACCGACTTATTTACTTTGCTGTAACACAGTGTAATACATTGCACGGTAATAAAAAATTCGTGAAAAATAATGCCGAGAACTGCAAGTGCAACTGGCCTTATAGAGGCACGGATCCGACCGGTATATCGTCCTAAACCAAAGGTACTTTTCCAAAGAAATTGGTAAAAATATATCAATTAGTATTTCGTGAAAACTTGATTCGTTGCAGAAAGTGGAACTTTCAGGATGTACCAAGCCAGTACCTTTTATCCTTCGACCCTTTTCTGGTCTTTTCAATCCTTATCCCTATGGCTGCTCTGTACTGTGTAATCATCCAGCAGACTGTGAGGCGAAAGAAGTTCTCAGGCGGGCAAAAGATTCATGGGTAAAAAATGATTGCATACATTTATGATGAAGGCATATAATGTTGAATATTATACGTTAAACCACCATAGGCAACTGAAGGAAAGGCTTTGCTATTGCCAGAAGAAATGGAAATGATTAGGGCAAACCTGATAGCTGCAGCTAGTACTGTTGATACAAATGGAATAGAAGCTATCAATACAGAAGAAGCCACTGTTCCCGAGGAATTATTTCGAAAATATACCGAGACAGATTCGAGACCCTTAACTCCAACGCCTACTCTTGCCAGTGGTCCTATTTTGACCAACAGACCGATCGAAGAAGAGTTTCCAGTAACTTGTAATCCCAGAGAACGTACAACATTGGTCCTAGATCTCAGGACCAAGTCACAGAAACAGGTGTTTTTATACGTTTCTCTTATTTATATGATAATATGCTTTTTTAAAGAAAAATTTTGTTTACAGGAAAACGATACTTTTACTTGGCATGCCTTGACTTTGGAACCACCGCCGTCTCACAGAAAAACCGAGATATTTATATCCAAGCCTAAACCTTCTCGTTATCAATCACGCTTATCGAATACTCCAGTTGATGTTACTGCAGACAACTCTGAATCGGTACTGAAGTTCACTCAAACGTAAAATATGACATCCAATGTTATTTGAAAAATTTTGCGATCTGTTCAGAATTCTAGCATCAACATAGAGAGAGATCAATTAGAAAAGATAAGTAAAGAACAGCCTGCAATCGTACGTAGAAGAGGAAAACGATTACGCAAAGGAAAGTGTAGAAGAGGATCAACCTATGGACAGCAAACCGAAGTCCGTGACTTATTCGAAGCAACTGACACTCAAATATCACGTATAGGAGATGCTTCCAGAAGAACATCGTTAGTTATGATTCATAACTATCGTTTGCTACCAATGATTCCTTTATTTCTATTCGTTTCTTCTTTTATAGAGTTCATACAGCCAATGGTGATACAGAAAATCTTTCAATCTCTCCTAAGAAAACTTCTGCGGTAACTAATACGTCTTCCACGATGCTTCCTAGTTTCTTGGAACCGGATATTTTGAAGCACCTTTGCAGGGAATTGGATAGTGACAAAGTGGAAGCAGAATTTTCAGTTAGGGTAAGATTGTAAGCTGAATGAATTATTTCATGAACAGTGAACTTTCGCTGTTTTTTAAAGAGGAAAATCGCATTTGAAGAAGCTCTAAGAGTAAAGGGTGAAACCTATTCGCGTACAAGAAGATCTCAAACATACTCGAACCCTGCTCTAATAAATACGCCAAGAGTATTTTCTCGTCAAGTGGCTCGTTTCGAAATCCTCCATAGCGGAAGTTTACGCGGTAAGTACAAGTCGAGTGAATTAATACGAGCAATTAATGAATTTCTACTTAAAATTTGTCTCCAGGATTAACAGTATTGGATTACCTCGGCAAACACGTGTTTGTCTCTACGGGAAGAAAATTAATCTTTGGTAGAGTTTTCAATAAGTTTCAAGATGATACGACAAGGGAAGTTAAAAGGATCTTGCCAAACAATATTCCAGAAGCTCTCCAAGAAGTGATTGGAAAAGCTCTGAGCGAAGAGGAAGAAACATATTTGAAATCTCTGATCGATGAAATAGAGGAACCATTGAATTTCAGAAGTTGGTGCGGTTTGTGCGCTGCGGTGGAGCGATTATTCTGTCCTCTTTCCCCGAGAGAAGTTGATCCTCCTACTTGGCTGGAAAGAGTTGACTTTGAAACCTTAGAACGAAGACTCGGATCTGTCGAAGTGGATCCAAAGCTGGCTTTGTTCTTGAGAAAAATTCGTGATAAATAAAATTCATTGGTACTATTGTAGGCGTTTAGTGGAAGGAGGAGAGGGTTTTCGTATCCCCGGACGCCTCTCCTACACTATATTTTTCAGTTCTTCTATGCAAATGTCATCGGTAATGTACTAAAGCCCTTTTAATCTGTAACACAGAGCATGCAGTAAAAATAAATTTAAATAAATCAATTATAAATTGTGGTAAAAGGTTTACTATGAGATCCTTTCAAACTACTTACTTTTCTATTTTGGGCATGGGACTGAGTCGAATGAAGAAACGTAGACGGGATGGTACGTTCGTCGCACAATTTTATTGCCGGACCGAACTCGCCTGTATCCGTTCGAACGTACACAAATTAATTACACAGCGATCCTCGGTTGGTTGCCGACAATGTACAAACTGTTCCAAAGTTGTTCATTTCTTTTCATTTCTTTTCTCGATTCCTTCAACACAATAAATAAACGAATGTCGCGCGCGCGTGTTGTATGTGTGTGTGTGTGTGTTACCGTTTACGTAACGACAATATAAAATCGTTCTGCATTAGTAAATAAATTAAGTAAACGAGCGGTATAGAACGATATATAAGAAGTATAATGGGAATCAGGGCGTATTTCGTACTGATATAACAATAATACACTACCGGTTGCATTTTCGTGTCCACTGTGTGTACATGTATTGTAGTATATATATATATATGTGTGTATATATATATGTACGATTACGTGCAACTTGGCTTTCCCTTAGTTAAGGGCAGGCGTGCACAGCAAGTAGTGAAACAGGGCACTCGACCGCCATATGGATAATTTCGTGTGCATGCCTGGTTAAGAGGAAATTTATAAGAGAAGAAGCGTTCTACTATTTGTTTCACTTGCCCACGTTCTTTACATGGAAGGACAGGAGATTCTAAGTTAGATTCTCTGAGACAAATGGTGGAAGACTCTCCTCTACCTTTCCCCTTAATCAAGAGAAGTCGACGTTGCACCTGAATGTACAGCACAGAGCACGGTAGCCTTCTCTAGTTAAAACAGCGGACAGGAGGAATTTAAAAAATTCTAATTTTAAATATACTAGTTTAGAAAAAGTTAAAATTATCATAGGATTTACTGTATAACTAAAAAAATATAACACACGAACGGTCGGAACCATTTTCTCTACGATTGTCCACCTTGCTCGGTACTGTACGTATCCTGCGTGCATGTGTATGTGTCCTGAATGAAGTATTTAGGTGAATGGGCGCGCATACGCACGCTTGTGTCGATGGGCATTGTTCAGTCGCTAGTTCCTACGCCACATTGCACATACAGCTAACGTACAAATATAACGACGTGACGATTCGTACGACACTACTTCCTAGAGTCTCTATACAGCGCGACGCTACCCGCCGTTTAAAGGGAGTTCTTCTTTGGAGCTGTTTCCGAGACTTAGATTAATTCTGATCCCGCGAACTGCTGGCCGTAGAGGGAGAAGACACCGACCACTCTCGCCTGTATCATCCGTGCTGGAAATTCTTCTAGGTCTCTCTCTCTCTCTCTCTCTGCGTTGATTTTCAGTATAAAAAAAGTTGCTCCTGCTGGGAGGCAGTGGGACTGGAGTATGACGACGGCGTGCAGGTATTAGCAATGGGCTAGTTGCTATTCGCGGAGCGCTGCATCGGCGGAATCACCGCGTCCCGTTCAGTCCCGTATATCTTGAATGCTTTCTTCGCCATGTTCCCCAGCATCTCCATCGAACACTTGTGCGCGGATCTTAGCGACACCGCCCATTCCTTTAAACTGATCTCATCCTGAAAACGACAACTCATCGTTTACCTCTACCATTTATAATCAACAAGTTGCAAAACACCGAGAGCCCGCAATTCGCTCAGGCATAATTTATGGGCATGCCTCTCTCTAATTTTTGGTACTTACGGGATATGTAAGTACTATTTTCGCATCTCTCGTACGGATGATAATACATTGTTCTCCCTTCACGTGCTGGAGGTCAGCGCTGACTTCTTCTACCTGAAATTCATTTACATAAAAAAACATTCTTACCGTTTACACTCCCGATCGATTAATTCATTCCTTTGTTTACCTGATCGAGGAAAACAAGCTCAGGTTTCGTCGTGGACTCGGGATGCAATTCTAATCTATTAGGGTAAAGTTTCGCGTAACGCGTTTGCCAAGCGCTCGCGAAAGGACCGCCTAATTTCTTAATATAACCATGTAAAATGCAGTCTGATCCTGTAATAAAGAATTTTCAATAATAACACGTTCGATTTTTACAAAGCCCACGATGTAAAAATATTACCTTTTTCATCGGCATCAAACCGCTGCTTTTGCTTAGCTTTCTTCTTATTCTCCAACTTGTCCGCTTCGTTATTGATTGTCTCGAACACAGTCTCGGCTACCTCGGCCTGCCATCTTTCAGAGATGGTCAGAGGGAAATTTTTGTACAGATCTTGGTCCGCGTCCGTCAGTTTGATACCTTTCGTGTCTTCCTCGTCGAACGAGCCGATATCAAACGCGTCCGCGGCGTTAACTTCACCGCGTGGCGGTATAAGCGGCGGTGTGTATTTCTGTAGATAAACTTGCTGCCAATCGATACCGCTGAAAAACGGGTGTTCCTTCAACTCGTCGGCCCCTCTGCCACGGCAACCAAGTCTATTGTTGATGTCGCGTTGCAGCAAACCTTCCAACAGAGAGCGCAGCTCTCGCGAAAACGTTTCTGGTAGCTCGACGTTCTGAAATGTTTTATAACGTTTCATTACACCATCGTTAGAAATTGAACAGGTTTTCCAGAACGGAAAAGCAACGAACCTTGGTCAATGTCATGTGATCTATTTCATGTTTGTCTTTGGTTTTATGCTGCCTGAACGGACTGTGACCCTTCAACAATTTGTGCAACATGCAACCAAACGAGAACCAATCAGCACTGGAATCATAGGTCACTCCCTTCGACAGCACTTCCGGTGCCATGTATCCATGAGTTCCTCTGTTACAATAATAATTAACAAATCTTTAAGTCTGATTTATTTAAAACCCCTTCCCTGGTCTCTTTGGAGTTAAACTGTGTAGAAATACAAGTGTACACATTCTCATTTGTACTTACACACTTGCATGCGGTTTCTTCTTCGAGAAATCACAGGCCAATCCTAAATCTGATATCCTAACGTGTCCATGCTCGTCCAGCAAAATATTTGCTGGCTTCAAATCCCTGTAAACGATGTACCTACGGTGCATGTGCTCTAATCCAAGTATCACTTCTGCTGCGTAGAATTTCATCTCTCTTTCATTGAATACTCCATGCTGGCTGAGGTGGTAGTGAAGGTCACCACCGTTCATCAGATCCAGAATGAAACAGAGCTTGTCTGGCGTTTGGAAGGCATACGTCATGCATACTATAAATGGACAATCCACCTGGAATCATAAAATGTTTTTATTGTTTAAATAGAATAAATTACTTGATGTTTAAATGATCTGCAATTGAAAGTATCAAATGTTTTTATGGAATTTTATGAACGAGGAGAAGGGTGGTCGTAAAGTAATGTGAAATCTGCTGGTAGAGGCATCAAGATCGTTTCAAGGCCTGTTATTTACATACAATATAAATTCTTTAATTTTTCAATAAATAACAGTAGCTTCAAATTTATTTAACACGTCGACTGCCAACTACGAAACAACTCGGAGTTTGCGTTGTTGCCTAGGACGCCAACTACGAAACAACTCGGAGTTCGCGTTGTTGCCTAGGACGCCAATTACGAGTACTTTAATCCCGCAAAGTACGGGATAACTCGTAATTGGCGTCCTAGGCAACAGCGCAAACTACGAGTTGTTTCGTAGTTGGCAGGCAACGTGTTAAGCATTTCAACTTGAAATTTAAATTCATCTCATATCACTGAGTCAGTTTATATTTCATTAATTCATTCATTCTAGCACTCAATTAAAAGACAAATGATCATGCTAAAGCTGTTAATACAGATGCTGTATGAAAGTACAAGGTATCATTATTGACCGGTAAATCGAAATCAGCCTCCACCGCTTCCTAACTATAACCGTCTAAGGATATTTTTAGGATATCACATCCTTGAGTAAAGCTTACTCCGGTACTGACTGCCGAAAGCATTATCCTTTCGTTGAGCGCTAAAGTTTCCCCTTGTTTCATTTTTATTCGCTTCTTGTCGAGGCACTTCATCGCGTACATTTTCCCAGTGTCCGCCTTCCGGCATCCGTAAACCTCGCCGAAACCGCCCCTGCCGATTATCCGGTGCACACTGAAGTCGTTCATCGTCAACTGAAACAATCATTCCGTCCGAGAAACTTTGAAATCCAATCAGCCATAGAAGGAACTTCCAGTAAGTGATTCCGTATCCTCTCGGGAAGCCTGTCATGTACAAAATACTGTTCAAGAAAAATCTAGTTAACGTACCTGCATATTTAACTCCAAGTTCTTCCATTGACAAAATCGAGTGTACTTCTCGCTGAAAATATAGAACAGCATTTCTTAGCAATTTTTTTCCTCCAAGCAACACGAAGCTGGACCACGTGTTTTTCTCATTCTTTCGTTAGTTGGCTAAACATACCTCTCCAGAAACTTCTTGAACGGCTCTCCCCTTAAGTGATTAAAAATTTCTTCGATATACGGCTGCAAAGAGGTAATCGATGCGATTTAATCGGATCAACGGTGATCGACCAAGTAGCGTTAACGATATTACGATTAAGCGATACAAGACTGTGGGGGACCAACCTCGAATAAGTTTACGGGTACCTCGTTTTTCACGAGGTATTTGTGAACGTGGGACACCGCTTCCGCGGAGTATTCCTGTAATAAAGAAATCATAGAAATAATTAATCAATCTTTTCGTTGTTAAATAACAAACGTGTATAGGTTGTTGGAAGAAAAAAGATTCGGCTACTTCCGGGGTGGTCTGTTTCAACTTTAGACCGATCAGTTACGAATGCTAAGCAAATAATCGCTCTAACATTCAAACTTCCGGCCACACTGGAAGTCGACCGGGTCGATTTTTAATTGTTTATACCTCGATAACGAATGGTCAGATTAAAAAATGGTAAAGAACTATATCCATCGTTTCGGCTGTTTCTTATTAAGAAAACTATTTTCAGATACTTTTATGCCACGAATTCGTCTCGGAGTTGAAAGGTTTCGAAACGGGACGTAAAACACGATCGTACGGTTTCTCGGTCAACAAAGAAAATCACAAATCTTGTAATTTCCACGGGGCACGTGTTACTCGTAAACCGGTTGTTATTAAGAAACGTCTATCGACGATACGGAGGGCTCTTTAACGCGTCCAGGGGTAAAATTGTGGCCAGAAAGCGGTTAAAGCCGAGGCTAAAATTAGGGGCGAATGAAGCCGGGGGGAAAAGTCGCGTGAAAAAGACCACGGAAATAGTTTCTTTCTCGTATACGAACGCATCGACGGCCAGAGATTAGAAGGCCTCGTTCCAGGGATCCTTGTTCAAACATTTATGAAGAAGACCGCCGAGGGTACGCGTTTCCCCCGGTTTTTCATCCTTCAGAACCGAGTTTAGCCGCCTTCGAGAGCACAAAAAGAGAACGGCTTTCATAGCTGGACTTTCTTTTTTCTTTCTAAACGCTTTCTTGAATCAACATCCTCGAAATCATGTATAATTTAAATCGTAATCTTTCTTCAACCGAACAGAATTTCTCCCCCTTTCTTCTCTTCATTAACGTGCCAAAGGTTTTTACTGGGTCATTTTGATTTCACAGAAAGCTTGTAAAAAAAAATCTTAATGCATATGTTGATTCTTAGAATTTTTTTTTTAATTAAAATGAAAAGATATATGGAAGCTAGAAAAGTTCAGCTAGACTTTCTTTTTTCTTTCTAAACGCTTTCTTGAATCAACATCCTCGAAATCATGTATAATTTAAATCGTAATCTTTCTTCGACCGAACAAAATTTCTTCCCCTTTATTTTCTTCATTAACGTGCCAAAGGTTTTTACTGGGTCATTTTGATCTCACAGAAAGCTTGTAAAAAAAAATCTTAATGCATATGTTGATTCTTAGAATTTTTTTTTTAATTAAAATGAAAAGATATATGTGTTTAAGTTGTCGGAGAATTAAAAGCTAGAAAAATTCAGCTAGACGGTAAGTAAATGCATAAAGTGAAAAACTTTCGAGCACAATGGATGATAATAGAAGGGAAAGCTTTTTATTTCGTGTGTTCAAGCGAATGATAAGTTTTTTCTAAGATAAAAAAGAATCGAGAATGAGATTTACTCACATGGGAGTGTGCCAGCAGCTCCTTCATGATGAAATTGTCGTAGATCTTTCTGGCAAGTTTTCTCCTCTCTTCAGGGCATTCGAGCTTCTCGTACGCCTTTATCTACAATGCATAAATGAGAAATTCCTTATGGGGTTGGACGACGATGAGTGGCACTACACAGATGGATGAATTAAAGGGTTAAAACACCTTGAAATATATTTTTTACAAGCAGAAATCGCGACTTGATATATTTTTTTATTTTTTAATTGAATATAGTTCTGCCAAGTTGCGATTCTTAATACTAAATTGCCAGAGCGAGTCAATTTGACTAATTTACGATTCTATAAAAGAATCTAAATAATTTTTTTTAAAGCATATGTTGGTTTTTAATAGAATTCCTTCTCCTCCCACTCCTTAGTTCTAAAAATCCATATGTGCTATATTTATTTTGACAGATCTATTTGTCCAGCAATCTAGTGTTAACACTAGACTTGCATATTACTCTACTGTAAACAGATTTCAACGCACCGCGTGCGCCTGACGGAAGGTATAAAACAATAATAGCTCCTATATCAGATAGCAAACTCCCTTTTTAGACCTAAAGCATAAAAAGAAGAATTTTGTCGCTAAAAGCTTTGTGACAGTTTATATCACCCATCCTGTAGCGTATTTATGTGTATCTGCGTGGGGGGATAAAACGAACCTCTTCGTAAAACCTAAGTTGCGGAATCGGCTCCTCCGCCACATTCTCGCAGAAGTCTTTGAATAAGAGGTAACCTGTAATCAGAGAATATATATTTTTTTCTTTTCCTTTATAAGGTAAATAATGGATACTTCGGATGTTTTTCCCGTCGTGTTTCTTAACTTATGGAGAAATCTTGGTTCTCTAATTAGGAACAAAATCACGTGCATCGATTTTGCAACTGAGAATTTACGTTTCAAATAGTTCCCAATTTTTAAGAAGTTCGATTCCGATTCGTGTCGACCAGTATCGTTTCAAGCTCCAGATACGCAATATCGATCAATGAAACCGAGTAACATACTATTTTAATAAATCGAAACAAATGCGTTTTGTCGGTCAATCAGCGCACAGTTCGGTGAGCGTTGCAAAATTGATTTTCAATTCTCTTTAACGCCGGATGACTGCCGTTGCGAGAGGCTATAATTACGCGTAAAAAGCGGAGATATTTGCAGGCTAACTATACTTAGAGGAACGAGAAATAATCGGTGGAATAGAAGAAGCAACAGTTTTTCATCCCGGCCGTCATTCAATTCAAATGATTTTTCACAGGAATTTAATCGTTCATTTTAATTAAGTAATTTCCATTAATCAGGAACGACTGCCACTTCGGATAGCAATGTACATTTATTTGGAATTTTATGCAGTATAATAAAGTTATTGAAAAAATTTCTCACCAAACATTTGATTGAATATTTTATCGAAGTTCACTTCTTTCTTCTTTTCCAAATATTTATGCATTACGCTTCGTACACTGTAACAGAAAGAAGCAACAGAATACGATGATCAATTGAATAATACATGGTGTCATGAAAATAGATAAGTTATGCATGCAATTGATTAAATTTAATAAATTCAATTCCATAAAATTGAAGTTCACCGATGACCAGCATAGAAATTGAACGCGTTCGAACAGAACAAGAAACGGGTCAAGTTCCGGTTAGATTGTAATCCAGTAAACTTATAACGTTCAACATTCCATTCCATGTTATTTCCACTGAAAGAATGTTTGTTGAAAGAGAAAGAATTCATCAACGATACTGCGAAAATAGACGATCGCATTCCCCGTAGGCAATGCCTGCTTTCCCAGAACAGAACTGATAAAAGATCAGAGGCCTGTTGATTATCAAACTTAATTTTCAATTTTAGGATGCTGGGGGAAAAATAATGGCGTTTCGTCTTGGAAACCGTCCACTAGAACTCGGCAGTGGAGCTGATGTGGACGGTTTCTGGTCCAGATGCTTGTGTTCCAGATTTTATAGATATATATATGTATATCGGTAAGGCCCGTGATGGAGCACTTGCGAGAAAGGATGGAGTTACACCCGCGACACCTTGCGGCCATCACAGGAAAGGCCCAAGGCGCCCTGAGCGCCCCGCTCCGTTCGCAAATCCCCACATTAATAATAAAATTAATTTCTCGAGTAAACGTTTACAAGTTAGTGTGCTTAAATCTCCATTTTCCTTGGAAAAGCTTACCCCGTTTCCCGGCTCGTTTCAACCTAATCCGACCTGACCCGACCTCTCCCTTGGGGTCTTTCAATTTTCACTGATTATAATTTCGAAATCGGGTCGACGACACTTCCGAGATTAATCGGAAACGTTTATTGTCGTGAAAATGCATAGCACGGCTGGAGAAACGGTGTTTTCACATCATCGTCCCCTTAAGGTAGGTTCTTTATAGCATCGAACCGCACCCTTGTTAGAATGAGAAGGGGTGGTCGCGACATGGTCGACCACTTTTTCGATTGGGATCGTGTTCGCAGGGGTTGACGGATATAAACAAACGACAAGACCATTAACCTTTGTAAGCGGAGTCGCGGAGAAGGGGTATTTAAATTCCTACAGCTGTTATAAGCAAATAGTAGTAAATTTGATGATATGTGCTCGGCAACCGGCAGATAAGTGCGAGTGAGAACTTGTTTTTACGATGTACACAATGGAAATTAAGCTCTTTCGCAAATATTATGAGACAGGTTTGTGTACACAAGGTGTTACAGACGGATTTTTATTGGAAAGGGATGAACCGCGCGAAAAAAAGAAGTATTTCATTCGGAGTACAGACCGGTCAATTAATCCATTTTTATTCGATTTTTAATACTCTTTATCCGCAGTTGTTGCACACCGAATAGCCAATTTCGAAACGTTCAAAGTCCCTGAAAATTTAAAGTTTAAAAATTTAAAGGAGAATGTTTGGAAATTTTCGTTCAAAAATTATAATAAATATTCGTCGGTGTCTTTAAAAAGATGGACTAAAAATAGACGAGCGAAGAAGTAAAAAAAGAACCGGCTGAAAACTGTCTACATTAATCGAGGAAATTGAACCCGGAAGCGAACGACCCCGTGTCTCTTCTCCGCGATTTACTCTTCCCTCCTGCTTTCTACCCTCCAACTAGCGGCCAACTTTTAAGGGACAGCTGACTGACACTGGTGATATTAAGCTCGCCAGATTTATGGTGTTCGCAAAGTCTATTGTACCATGGGATTGCTGTTCCTCTTCGATTCGTCGGTTGAAAACCCTTAAGAAATTTTCCCACCGTCTCTTAATTTTATTCGTCATTTTTAATTCCGTTTTTCCGACTGTTTGAAAATCGCAAATTTTCGCACCAATATTTCATTCTATTTTTGTACGATACTGTACGCGCCTCTGGAATCCAACAATCTCCCGGAATACTATTTCTCCGGTTAAAACGTAAGACGTGTATTTTCACGCGTGAAATTGCCAATTAGGAACGGTGATTAAAAAGACTGTAAGATTACGGCGTGGTTCTAATCGTGAGAGAAACGGACGGAAATCGTTTTAGCCGTTTCACTGGCGCGTAAACGTGACTGTTCACGCGCGGCTAACAATCAAAACAATTCAAACGGTTGCCAAACGGAAACTAATATCGGTTCTCTCGCTGGAACCGTCTCTGACGTTCGCTAAATATTTAAATTTCCCTCCCGTAAATAGTACAATTTCGTAAGCGCGGCTATGACTTCGGTTTCGACTTGGGTATAAAAAAAGGATCGCTCGTATATTTAGAAGCGAAACCTGTAAATATTCTCAAACTTCCCACCTACCATCTTCAAAAGCGGCTTTTTGAAAAGTATTTTTCGCTGCGCATCTGCCTTGCGCAGCTACGTCATCGAGAGGGGCGGAGCCAGTGAATGAAGTGGGGGTAGTGTGTTTATGACCAGAACTGTACGGTCTATCAAAGATTCGAGTCAATCTATTCCATAGAAAATGTATCATCACCTTTTTCGTTTTAATAAACGTATTCAGTAACTCTTTTTACTTTTCCAAGTCGAATGATTCGACATTCACTAGTACTCTCTGTTCTTTGACCGCAACTCGAAAGCACACTCAAAAGCAGCGGTTAATAATCAGAAACAATAAACAATCGAATCGAACGGTATTGGTATTTCTATTTTCAGATGGCTCCTTCTTTCTTCGCTGAAAATTTTTCTCGAATGATGCTGAAACCATTCGATATACGCGAATCATTGAAAATAAGCAAATTTTTTTGTGAAATTTTATATTTAAACGATATGAAAAAATCTTGAACTTTGAATTAATAGCGTTATCGAATTATAAATTGACATTAAAAATTACGAAAATAATCAGACTTTGGGGAATCAAAAACAGCCGAGAATGATTAAAAAATTCGGGAATTACCGGAATAATCAGGGAAAATGAAGTAAAATGAAGTACAATGAACTTCTCGTACGTCAATGAAGTGCTTTTAATAGAACTCTTTGGTAATCACTTTGGTTATCTCTATAAACTTTTCAATAACAAACGATGAGTCACGGCTTCGTTACGCAAAGATTAAAAAAAACCATCTATTGTTTATAACATTTTTGTTTAATTAAAATGTCAAGAGTTTAGAATTCAGATATTAAATTTTCTGGAGTAAACGCGCGAGCGGTGAGGTCTTTTCCCCCTATGGGACTATTTTCCCTAGGGAAACCTAGCGCGCTTAGTACCGTATTATACTTATGCATATATTACACAGAATTATACTGAAATTAATGTTATCGTCTCGCACACAGATGTATAATAATTACAGTAATTCTGTTTTCCAGCCACCGGAATCTTAACCGGCATAAAAGCGTAGATATATTATAGCTAATAATTCAAAAGGAGGATCAGATAGATCCCATAGGGAATTTTTCATAGTTACTATACGACGGCATGATTTGCCTTATCCAGAATCGTATGAGCACGTGAGATCTTCTGGCCGGCCGTTGGCTGGCAGCCAGGAAAAAGGAAGGCTGCTATCGAAACGACTTATTTTCACGGCGTACCTTCCGAACGTCCGTGTTTTACGGGTCGAAAATAACACCAGCAGCGTAAACATTGGCACATTATAATCGATGTGGAGTATCGATCAACGGGTTCGCTCCCGGAAGCGGTACACACCCTAACGCATTCGTGGAAGAGCGATACGATTGAACCAATCGAATTCGACTAAACTCTCCCACGGTCAGGTTTATACATTATTTTCAAACGATTTATGTTATTTCATGAAGACTGTTTTTTGAAATACAAAGCGAAAGCCACCGTAAGGAAGATATCCTTGGCCTTCCGAGACTCGAGGGTCTTTTCAGCACTCACCTGGGGGAAAACCCAGGCAAAATGTATGAATCACTGTAGCGTTGGGACTGAGTTCTATACCTACTCTCGCGAAGCTGATCATTATAACCGTCTTAAATTTATATAGAAATTTATAGAAACACAATGGAAAGAAAAATATTCAACGTATTCTATGAATGTTCTTTCAAACGAATTATGCAATTGCTTTTCAGTTAACCACTGGTATCAACGATTTTATTAATGGACATCTGGTTCATAAGATGTTAATAGACCCGTTGTACTTTTATACAGTATCCGATAGCGTTTGACGCAATCGTAGGTAAAAGTAGAAACATCAAAGACCAAACGCGTCAGTATTTAACGTCTTGATTGAATGAAGCTAACTGCAATGTTGATATCTAAATATTATTAGACGTACGTAGATCGTGCTAATAATATAACCGTATCAGCTGAAACTCTGCTTATGCCTAAGTACCGAGTCTGTCTGTAAAGACGTATCCATTCTTGGGAATATATTCTGTCGATTCTGATGAAAATATAAATTCCAAAGCTAAGAATTGTTATGAAACCTTTGGCCAATCTCGAGGCGCATCAATGGGTAGACTGATAAAAGGGTTTTCCGGTGAGCTGATCGTCACACAAGAAACTTCTTTTTCTATTTAAAATGTTTCATCCACTGGCGACAAATTACTAGTCGATCTTACGTACAAGAAATAATTCCGACGTGTGCAATATCTTTTTCGTAAACAGAAATAAAGTCTGCGACTATAATTTTCCTTTGGTTAACCCCCCCCACGATGGATACTGGGTCATTCAAAGGCTCAACATTACAGTGCATCGAGAACGGCGGGAAAAATTGAAGCAAGATATCCGTGGGCGTGGCCTGAACGCGGATTCGATGCGAGATCCAGAGTGGGGGGAGGGGCGGAGCTTCCCCCCACCACAATAACTACTTCCAAGCTGTTTTTAACAATTAATCAACCGACAAACAAATTATATAATAGAATATCGTGTTTGCCAAGTCGGTTTACCTTTTTTTTTTACTATCTATCACACCTGTGACCGAACAGATGTAATTACACGCAATAAATAACTTATCTTAGGTTCTCGATGTCACTTAACTGGCGACACAACTGTGGTAAATAAAAAAATTGTACGCGGATTAGAATTTTCATGTTTTCACATTTTAAGTCTATTTTTCTTTACTATTAGAAAAACGGTAATGATATTGTAGAGATTAGAGTTAAACTATTCATTATCTTATATAGATACGAAGTTTCTTTCATAGCAAGTAAAGATAACAAATGTAAAAGATAAACAAATGTAAAAATTTATGATCAGTACCGAAATGCTATACTGTCACTGAGAAGTACTATACATAATAATGATAACAGCGATAGAAAAATAAACTTTTCATTCGATTATAAAATGTGGGAATGAAATGTATTACCTGTATGAAAGGATCAATTAGAAATACTTTTATGGGTCACTCTATGAATCAGCAAACTTCTGGTTTGTTTGATAATTCGATATACAGTTATTGCCTTCTGACTGGTAGAATAACTACCTCGTAAACCACTACTCTAACGAAACACCCTCGACCAGTCAATTTCTGAAATTGACCCTTATTTTCCAACTGGCACCGCCCAACGCTTTTCACGAAATTTCTGCACGAAAATTCATAAAAGGTAAAATGATATTATTTTAACGAAATTCACCGAAACGAATTTGAGATGAAAACGCGACGATAATCAAAGCAGACACTTATTCGCGTAATACTTAATCTGGCTAAACTGAATTAGCGCGCTTATAAACACCAGCTAATCCGAAAAACCAATTATTCAAAGCTAGCAATATTTGCTTCATAATTACGCGCCTAATCCCGCTGCGCTGTACCGGAAATCAAACGGTAGAGCTAACCTAACAATTGCTCTATCGGTTAATACAACCGAACCGATTACCGTTATTGTGGAATAAATAAATCACAGATTAACGGAGTTGTATTAAAGGAAGCTTTACATCTAATAATAGTTTATTCAAACAGGATGCAATTATTCTAATCATCGTTAATCATTAGTTCCGTCGCTTTCGATCGACGCAATTCACTGTTTGTAAACATTTTTCTGAAATGGCGCGCTACCGAAGTGAACGAAGCTAAAGGAACCGAATAGATCCGTACGTATGCGCGGAAAAACAAAGAGGACTCGAGCTGGCCAGCCGCGGATCAGACAAGGAACGTTAAAGAGAAGAAGAAGGGAGGGGCAGGAAACGTGGTGAGACGTAGCGATGGGATTAATTCGATTATCATGTCGAAATGTACAATCGATGCTGGCCCTTGTAAATTTCTTCAAGGACATCGAACAGATAAACCGTTACTCGAAACCCATTGAAAATTGTCCGTGTCAAAAAATCTAACGGATATTATTCATATTACAATCGTTCGAGCGTTGTTTTATTTGATCAGATCGACGCTGTTACTACAGAAGAGTTAAGCTTAAGGAAAACCGGAAGTACCTACAATGAACCAGTACTTTGTATTGTTTTTGCTTACGAACGCATCGGTTCTATCGCTAGAGGTGGACGCAGTTAGTTCGGAGATTGGTTAGATTAAGAAAAAGCAGGAGAAATCGAAGAGTATGTATTGGCGTACCTTGGATCGGGCAAGATGATCTTCTTACTAGCTCTGGCGGCCGGTGTGCATTTGCTCTTCTCCATGGCCATCAGGTAGCTGACGTCGGCCAGCACCGCCTCGAGGTCCGCCATTTTCCTCGATGCTCTCTAAATCTCTCGGACGTGAACACGGCTGCCCACCCTGGAGTTGGGTTAACCCGACGACACACTCTCTTCACCGCGACGGACGCGTCGTTCTCACAGTCGCGACGCCGGGAACGACGCGGCCGACGCCGACATTCTGATCGAACGACCGACGTGTGCAGCGATGTTCGCGAATCTGACAGCTCCGTCGGGTATCTGAGCGCGGTTTACAAGCGCGGCCAAGTATATCAGGGCTCTTCCGAGTTAAAGAGCGAGGTTAACGACACTCCCTTCGGCTAACACAACACCAATCACCCGCGTAACTGTTTATCGTTCACGCGGGCGACGCGACGTAAATTTTTGACACGCTGCTCATCGTGACTCTCTCTCTCTCCTACGTGAACAAATTGAACGTGCAAATAGACACGAATTCGCACGCGATCATTCACTTTCGAAACCTCGTACAACTTTACACGGAACCTACGCTTTACCGACTGACAGCCGGAGTAGTTGTCGGAAGACACAAGTCCGCGCGCGCATGCGCGGTGATTGGTCCGTGCTCCTTCCCCCCTGCGAATCTTTCTCTCGCCATCTGTGAATTGTCAAGCAAAAGACGTACATACATACCGGATTTATTTCTCAAACAGTATTGGTAATTGTACGGTTGAGGGGATGAACAGGACTCGAATGCAACGTAGGCTTTTCTTGGTTAAGGATAAATGGATGGGGAGAAGACTCCCGAATCTTGCCGGGAAAAACCTAACCTCGAATCTCCACCTTTGCGCATAAAAAAATACAAAAAACAAAGCTAAACAAATATTCAACAGATTGTGCTTACGCAGAACCAATAGCAATAAATGAAAAAAAAAAAAAAATGCACTTACGGTCACTGAGAATATTGGAACGTCGGTGCTAGAGGAATGAAATTTACTTTACTTCACTTTTTCGACTTACTAGAGATCGCAAACCCTTAAAAGCCATTCCGAATTGATCGAATGCTGCAATTAGAGATATTAAAATGCATCGTATGCGTTAAAAGTGACAAAGAAACTATTGTTTTCTAGCGTTTTGAAAAGAGCACTATTCGTCCCCTCTAGTGGCAATATGGCGAACTAATAATATTTTATAGCGGTCTTTTCAAAAGCGCTAGTCAATAACTATGATTCAATTAGTACACGACTTGAATATTTTGATCTCGCGGTAAATTAAAATCGTTCGTCAATTGAATTCTTTTGATAGAACCACAACCTAAAATTTGTTAAACGAATATTATATTAGAATGACTGCTTTACCCTTAGGTAAAGCACTGAATATGAAGTTCTAAACCTATACATTGCAGTCACATATTTTTGCAATGGTATGCACGCTTAATTTTCGATATAGAATCTACTTGTAAATTATACATTTAGTATAAAATTCTCCTTATGTATGTTACCAGTGTAGATGGATATGAAGTTAGGTTAGCCTTGCTGAGAGCGATGGACCATGATGTAAAGTTTTCCGTCAGGTCAAGTAGCATCGGATTGACCGAGCGTCTCCAGTTTGATGGCAATGTAACTGTTGTTAGACAATTGTATGCAAAAACTGCAAAAAATCAAGCAAATTATTTGCGATTCATTATACACCGTTTATATAAACAATCATTTAAATCCTTGGATCTGGCGACTTTGTTTCCTGCCATTCAATTACTATTTGAGGTTATATGAGGTTATGTCTTTTTTTTTTTCATACATTTAGGATCTGGTCAAACATTCGTTGATCTCATTTTGCAGAGTTTCAGAGTATCTAAGGACTAAATTATGTTCTGCTTGTTAAATTTTTATCGATCAAAAACTGTTGTTTTAGAGCTACCGAGCAAGAGATTCTGTGCATGTGTTACACGGAAAGTCACGACTTTCTGGCAGCAGGTCTAACGGATGGTTCGGTTAAGTTACACAAAACGAGCCCCAAAGGAGATAATTTGGTATTACGCGATGTAGAAACAACGCAGAAACCAAGTCCAGTGACTGCCATTAAACATAGACCTGTTCACAGATCTCGCCCAATCACGCGTACCCTTTTATCAACCTGTTAGTGTGAATTGTAATGATTTTCTATTTAACTTCTGTTTATTAAATAAAATGTAACGTATTACGGAGAGCTAGGAAAATTCTTAAGTCCATGATGAGGGCGTACAAGTAACGCCCTCTACGTACTTTTACTCCATTTTGGGCAGACCTAACTTTTAGTTTGGATGATTAGACTTAGTAGCTTCGAGATGAAAAAAATATTCTATTTGCTAGTCCGTTTTAAAAATATCCTTGCAACTCTCTTCTGTTTATTATAATTTATTACTTCAGATGCTAATGGATGCGTCAAATGCTGGCATTATCCAAGCTCCCAGTGCTTGTACACGATACGGGAGAAGAGACAGACCCTCGGTTTGGCTTATCACAATTACCTGCCGAAATTTGTAACCGTTGGTGATGATACAAAACTATTTCTTTATGACGAGGAGACTAAAAAGCTGGAAAGAGTGTTCCATGCTAGGTTTGTTCTTCATAATCCAGTGTCATATCATATCTTCCTGGCCAGAGATATATTCCTTAAAGATAACAATTTAGATTAGTTTCAATTTAACGCAATTATTTATTTCAATTTTTTTTTAATACTCAAAAGGATCAGATTATACAAACTTTAGATCCTATGGGGAACTGTATGGATGAATTTGATGAAGGCACGTAAAACGCTTGGAGTGGAGGAAGCAATGGGGGAATCCCATCAGGCCAGTGTATCATGATTATACTTCGGATCATCTGATTTACAATTTCAATTATAACAATCTTAGCGTTATCTTTTTTAATAATGACAATCCTAACTTAAAAACATTCTTTTGTTCCAGCGACTCGTTGGAAGTTATGGACGGTCATAAATCCCGAGTTTTTAGTGCGTGTTTCAACCCAAAATCGGCGCACGAGTTGATCAGCGGTGGATGGGACGACACCATACAATTCTGGGACACCAGGCAACCTTATGCTATGAGACGGATATCCGGTGTCCATATATGTGGCGACGGATTGGACATCAGCAAGAATGGAAAGGAGGTCCATACATTTAGAAGTCAAGCTCGTTATTCAAATTCAAGTTTATTCCTAGTATAGTTTCTTAAACCACCATCGTCAGTTCCTTCGGTATAAAATATTCCTTCTGAAGCTTATCCAGCGTTCGTCAACAAATAAAAGTCATTCAAATGAAAATGTAGGAATTCAGAAATCATTTCTGTGAGCAGATTCTAACATGTGCATGGCAGAGGGACAATGCCGTTCAGTTATGGGATTATGGCAGTGGAAAACTGCTGGTCACCATAGAACCTGACAGCTATACTTCTCTACTCTACTGTGGAAAGTTCGTGACGAACATGTTTCTTGCATGCGGCGGTTCGGACACTAATCTCTTCAGGGTGGTCGACTTGCGATCTCAGGCGGTAAGTTCCAGACACCGTAGGAAGGCTCCATGGTAGCAATGCCCGTGGGCGTTCTTAGATATTGGCTGCCCATAGGGCTAATTAGCGTTCATCCTTGCCAATTAATGTCTAACATTTCTCCCACAGACTTTGGCGTTAATCAGGAATTTGAACGGCGGCACGTACAGCTTCGACGTAGGTCCGGTGAATCCAAAATACGCAAAGAAAACAAGAACGCTGTTCGTGGTGCCACAGTTGGCATTCTGCGCTGGTAGACAGATCTTCGAGATAGATGCTCAGCCTGGATAACCTTTCTTCGCCTTACAAAGGCTTTATCCATTCTTATATTTTTTGAGAATGATTTTTTCTAAAAATGGCGTGAAGACGAAAGAATTCTCAGCTTGATAAACGATGAACTTGCTTTCTTTATTTATCTTTTCAGCCGATTGTTCTGCCGCCGAGTATGGAACGCAAAAGCACAGAGTGTTGGGCGATGTAACATTTCATTTTATTCTAATTCAATGTGTTACAGTTGAATAGCATTCGCTGTCAGGATCGCTTGTCGCTTCAAATAACCTCCGAAAGACAACAGCGGTTAGAATGAACGTATGAGAAATTATCTGCAAAATTATCTCAGTAATAAAATATATTTCTACACACACAGTCGTCGCGGGTGCATCTTATCAAAAAACGAGCCTCGCATTCATCATCATCATCATCATCATCATTATCATCATCATTATCATCATCATCATCATCATCATCATCATCATCAGGGGAGTATAAAATTGGTCGACATGGCTTTGCGAACGCAAACAGAGAACGAACGGGTCCGATGATATGTCTGAGAACGATGAACGACCAATTTGGAACATGGTTCCAGGGTCATGTGGTTTTCTCATTGTACTTTCGACGGGCAAAATGGTCGGTCACTGGTCGGTAGAGAGTGAAAGAGATAGATAGGAAAGAGAAGAAAGAAAAAGCGGAAAGGTCGCACGACGATGCTACGATTACACGAGTTCGATACGGTAAGAGGAGATGAGGTGAAAGTGAAGGACGTTCGAACGACCCGGAAACATCGCGCCAGGAAAAATAGCCAGAGTTTTCGTCTGCTCGCATACTGTGCACCATCCTAATCACATCGTTCGCTCTAAAATACTAATAGTACAGCTTAACGTTACACGTCGTCCCGTCGCTCGCGCCTCGGCGATCACAAGAAAGCAGAAGCAAAGAGCCAGCATCGTGCGGGGGCCACGGACCCCTTTCGTTCACAGCCTGACCGGGCCCCGACACTGACTCCGACTTCCGCGCTACGTCTCCGCAGAACATCACACGTTTGATTCCAAGCCCATTTTTTGTTCTTTTTTTTTTTTTCATTTAACTTTACAACGACACGTCGTAGGAATAACAGATATATATATATAGAGAGAGAGAGAGTGTGTGTGAGAGATAGAGAAAAAGAGAGTTTTTCTGTCCGCGTCTTCCTAATTGTTGCATTTCCAGCTTAAAAAATAATTGAACTAAGGGCAGGCCAAGACACGTCTGACGAAGAAGGAACATAAAAACGCGTTCAACGACTTTACACGGTGTGCCTTACGAATACGGGACAGCAAGGCAAGGCACCGTAAGTCTTGTTCGCGTAATGTCTGTGTATATATGTATTGTGTATGTGACAAGAGGAAACGGATGAAAAGGCAGTAAAAGCAAGACCGTTGAGAACGAGCGAGTATCGATGCCATGCCTTATTGTCAGCCGGTTCTGTAGCACAGGACTCGCGCGATTAGTAAAATTGTACATCGAGAAAGATGGTGGGAAGCGAATCTAAATCCTGTCCCTCCCCGTCGATTTAAATGAATCGAACTCGAAGAGGAGGATCCTCGACTCGTTGGCATCATAAGAGATCACACGGTTTCATCGTGGCCACGACGACAACATACCCATGCATGTCAGGTACGCGCGCTCTGATTCGACAAACGGAGAAAACACGTTCCCCTTCTACATGGTGTTGTATACCGGACTGCTGTGCCTAGGCCTAACCTGCAGCCTGGCAAGAGGATGCGTCCTGCCGTGCTGTTGTTGCTTCTTGCTAGCTGCCACCACTCCGGCCGAGGGAACAGGTGGCCTACCGGGTGCTTCCGGTCCCTCGGGGAACAGAGGGGACGAGTGATTATTGATCATGATCGGGGCTGACCTTCTACTGTACTCGGGAGTGGCTTTGCTCTTTGCCAAATTCGGTGTATCCACAGCCTCCCAATCCTTGTCCTTGTGCACGCGCAGCTGGATCTCCGAGGACTTCCTAGAGTCTGGTTTCACCTCGTACTTGCCCACTAGCACCCTGACCGACCGGTCCTCCGAACTGTCCTGCGAGCACACCTGCGATACACTATCGCTCGGCTTCTCCTTCTCTTTGGTTTCGGACGGGGTCTGAATCTTTGATTCATTGTGAGGGATCACTGGCGACGAGGGTAAACTTCGGATCTTGACGTCCCTCTTCGGTCGGCCGACCATCGACGACTCCCCTTCGAAACTACTCTCGGGACTCTTCTCTAGCTTCGTCGATTTCGCCTCGAATTCCTTCTTCAGATTCTTCACGATACCCGAGGTGCTTCGCGGACATTCAGCCTCGGGGGAGTCGTCGACGGAGAGGCAACGCTTGTTGAACATGGACTTGTTACTCAGCTTCTCCAGCACCATCTTGTGATGCTTCACAGAGGTACACTGAGTGGTGTTGATCACGCAAGGACTCGACGTTTCGCTCTCTGACCTGCAGGATCTTAAGGACGAGGGGAGGTCCGAGTCCGAGGAGAGAGAGGATGGGGCCGGGGCACTGGTGGACAGTCGACCGATCTGACGAATCGACGCGGGCGAGATGTCGATCCCTCTGATCGGACTCGGCGAGTTTCTAACCGGGGTGGGTTCTACTTTTAAGTTATGCTCCTGGCTAGGCGAGGAGTCCCTTCTACGCGGTGTAGGGGACGCCGTGTGGTGTAAGAGTACCGGATTGTAGGAATCTTCTTCGACGGCCAATCTGTCCTTGTCCTCGTTATCGGAATTCTGCGTGCACACCCGCTTCACCGTACCTGAGCTGGTGTTCTCTTCGAGTTTCTGTTTGGTCCGCTTCACCGTACCCGGGTGCCAAGGTATCTCTTCCTTGTCGTAAGGGAAAAGACCACTGGAACCGAGCAGATCCGAAGGTCGCATATCGTACGAACCCCAAGAACTGTTCCTCGAGGGTAACGTGGCCCACGAACTGTGCACCGAATTATTATCTAGAACCACGGCACTGTCGTAACTGCTCCAAGAGCTTTGCCGACTCGGAGAGTCCCTGGTGACTGGCTCCCCTTGCCTTTCCTCGCGATCGAACACTCTGTCGACCTGCGTACTAAAAGGATCCCCGTCCTTCTTCGCCGATTTCCGCGACAAACAGCCGGGGTATACCGACATCGTCATCGTCCCGACGTACTCACTCTCCCCACTCACTTCCCCGTTAGTCTTACCGTTACTACACGAATCGTTACACGTTGCATCGGACGACGATGCAGTCCAGACTAGACATTCACTATCGTTACCGTTCTCCGTTTTCTTCGGTTCGCGTTTCTCACCAGGATCCCACACCTCTTGTTTCACTTCCGTCTGCTGCGCCAGCCCGTTTTCGTTAACATCCGACACGGGACTCGGCAGCAGCGGTTTGTTGTCCGAGTCCGAGCTCGGGGAAGACGGTTTGCTGCTAACCGCTTCGAACTGATTCGTCAGGTTCAGCACCAAACCTTTCCTCCTCTGACCCTGCGTCTCGAGCTTGCTGACTCGGTGCTTCACGCTAGGCGAGTCCGCCGGATGGGTAGGCAGGTGAAAGATTTGATTCTGCGAAACGCTGTACGATTGCCCGTTGTCGCATGGCATCAACACGTTTCGCGCCTCCTGCGCCATACCCGGCTTCTGACTGCTGGAACGAAGAAGATCCTCCCTGGTCACTTCCGTGCTTCCTGCCTTGTCGATGCTTTCGAGGGACTGCGAAAGGGGAACTGCAACAAGGAGTTTAATTAACCGCTACTTTCGACAGAATTTCCTTAACGATAGATTTAAAACGCTTCCTACCAGAAGGCAACATGGTTTCGCTGATCTTCACGTTCGGCGACCAACTCTTCGGCCTCTGACTGGTCTTCTTCAGTTCAGAACCTGAAACAGCTTGCAATCCGTTGTCCACGTTGTCGGACTTCTCCTCCTTTTTCGCTTGATCCTTCGTAGATGTCGGAGACTTCAAGTTAGTGTCCGACTTGGACCTCTGAAGTTTCTCCTTGTTCTTCATCGCGTCCAATATACCCTGGTAGGTCTCCAACTGCAGCAGGAAGCTGTTGTTCGGCTTGATGCAGTTACGCTTCTCCTTCACGTGCTTCCACGCCTGCGAGAAGTCCCAATTGTACGCCTTCATCGCGTACGCGATCACCACCGAGGCGGATCTGGACACCCCCATCTTGCAGTGCACCAACACCTTCGAGCCTTCCTTCCTTGCCTTCGTGATGTACTTGTACGTATCGTCCCAGTGCTTCAACAAGTCCGTCTTCTCGTCGTCGTACACGCGGACGTTCAAGTACGTAAACATCCCGGGAAAGAAGTTGTCGATCTCCCGAGTAACGTTCAGAATATGCCTGACACTGGAAAAAGGCAATAAATTTTGATTTTTAATAATAATCTTTGAGATTTGTCTATCGGCCTCGATGCAAGTCCAATGGATAATACTACTCGAGAATTATTAAGACATTATCAGTGAAAACTTGGGGGATCAGAGGAACTAACCCATTCTTCTGGAGCTCCTCTAAGTTGCTCGCGTTCCACTCGCTTCCTAAGTAAACGTGGTCGAATATTTCCGTCGGCGCGTCCATTTGACCCAGAATGGTGAGCATCTCCTGATCGATAAACGGCTTGAACTCGCCGAGATCCATGTCGAGGTCTTCCTCGAGACGACCTCGAATATACTTCGAGGTTACCTCGTCGAGGTCCACCGACATCATGATCTCTTTCAACGTCGATCGGATCACGCGTTCAGTCTCGTCCCTCTCCCTGGGCCTAGAAAGGATATATCGTGAAATTGGCGGACTACCAATATACCGTGTCTTGCACCAAAGAAAGGGCAATGGGGCTTACTTGGTGCGCACGCTATCAGGCGACGGTGGTCTCCGTGATTCGAGGCTGTCCATAGCGTGCCACTCGTTGAGACACGAGCGATCGCTCTCGATTCGTTGCTCATAGTAGCTGACCCAGTCGTGCGACAACCCACCCAGGAAGTAGTTCTGCTCCCGTGCCTTGCTCGACACCTTGTGCAACGTCTGCAACGCGGACCTGCACAGAAATCCGATCGACGACGTCTTGAAAACACCCGATCATGCAAATACTACCACAGATACTCGCTTCCACAGTACCAAACACAGGGAATTATCCAGCGTTTCATACCTAGTTTCATTTAACCGTAGACCGAACATACTTGATGTATTCTTTCAAACTAACTGAGAATAAACAAGGTTAACAGCTTAAAGAGAATCGTTTATCTTGAACGAGACCACTTCCGTTTCACGGCAAGCGGAAATGGTCGGTAGAATTTCCTAAGCAGTGGTTTTGATCTTTATCAGAGAAAGATAAATATGCAGCTCGTATCGCGGCCGATTTCATAGCAATTCAGTAAATGGTTTCAGGTAAATGTTAGACAATACAACGTTTTCCTGTGCACACCTTTCAACACTCCTGGCTTTTATTTATAATAAAAATAGATTTTTATTACTATTCCCACGATTTCTCTGAAATTTGTGAAACGATGGAAAAAATGTATCGAAGAACGGTGAAAATCGATCTACTTTTTTCAATGAAATAAGAAATCGCTGACAAATGTTTCCGACGATGTTCGAGCAGCTTAATAAATGGAAAAACCGTGCTGATCATCGTCGTGATCGTTCGACCATGAAGAGGTTCGTGAAACGGGGGAAAAAAGCATCACTCCGAGTGGGAACTCGATGACTTTTCTGCTTGGTCGATTGTTTAACGCCATACTATCTGATAAATCATTAATACTTTGAGTGCCGTAAAGTGTGCGTACGGAACGATAAAAAAAAAAAAGAAATCTTGATCAACAACTTATTTTCTAATTCCTTCAAAGATACTACAGATCGATACCACGTAAACGAACTTTCTATTCTTCTACTAAATGGGATGAAATTTTCTATTGAAACGAGATCGTTCTTTGATGCTGACTATTGGTATCAATCGATGCGTAACCGAGAGAATCGGTGCCGGTTAAATACGAGACTCGTTACGTAAAACGTTTAATTATAAACACGTGATTGTCCTCGCGGTCGTTAGTTACGCAAATCTGTTACAAAAACGCTTCTGGTCGACCTAAAACTCTGTTCACGCAGTTTACCTTTTTCTTTTAATTACACCGTGGAGACGTAATTTTCGTTACGGGTCAGATAGACCCCCGAAGGAGGATAGTAGTAAAAACATGAATAATTGAAAGAAGGGTTAAACGCTCGTTGGTTCAAGCTGGATCATTTAGATTTAGAGTTAGTTGAGAAAGGAAAGGAACGGAAGTCGTTTTATCTAATCGGTATGCAAAGTGGAAGGCAACGAGAAGAAGTGCTACTAGATCCGAGAGCATCGTTCGCTATCTCGAGATAATGATAAAAATAGAAGTTGTTCTTATACTCTCTTTCCACGTGGTGGCTATATATAATTTCACGAGCATAAGATTTATCTTCCTATCTTTCGTTTTTCAATGATAACGTAAATTGCGGGGTAATTAGAATTCTGTTAGTCATCATTTTTCTTTCCAACTCGTACTAGAACCGTGTTCACGATTGCCATGATTTGCGAGACACTTCCGGTAGTCTTGATAAAAAAAAAAAATGTTATAGATAAAAATGGACAAATGTGAAAAATAAAAATTCTATCGTATTTCAAAGTTACGGACCATTAAAGTCAGTTCCGTGTCGGTTGCGCGCGATTGCCATTCCATTTTCATCGGTAAAAACGAGTGGAACCGGGGGCGCGGGCAATTAACAAAGCCGATGTTTCGATCACTTGCGCAACGGACGAGGACAACAGCACGAGAGAGACTGAGGCTCGAGGCGCAGCATCGTAATTATAATGAGTCGCGTCATCGGCCTGATCCTAAATGGAACGGTTGGTGAAGCAAGGCAATGACGAGTCGATCAGATGCGTTCTTGCGTGCTTGACACGTTCCTAGTGGCCTACGGGTCACCGCTTGCTACCAGCCTAATTTCATAGCAAAAGTTGATTGCAAAATTCAGATGAGAGAGAACGCGTCGCAGTCTACCTCTGCGCTTCCGCGTTTCGCGTCTGAAGACTAACTCGCAATCTATTAAGAGAGACGCTAAAACGAGGAATGCAGCCCACGTGGTGATCGGATCGAAAATAAAATCCAGGATGTTTCGTCGCGACGAGATCGCTGCACCGATTCTGGAAACGTCTCGTTACATCGGTGTTTTCTTTGTTCAATCCTCCGTTGGATCGATGCCAATCGATTAAGAGAAAGAAATCCGGGGACAAAGAACAATGTCCAAGCACGCGATACCGCGTGCCTCGAACCTGGAATAAGGAACACGTTCAACCCTTTGAAATTTAAAGTAAACGATTAAGGTATGCAAGCGTTTAGTGGAAAGGGAAGGCGGTGAGTCTCCCCGGGCGCCCTTAACTCGGGTCGGCGACCGCCAGGTGGCAGCGGGATTGAGGTTGTTCTCGCTAGCACTCCCCCGGCATGAGTTCCAAAAAGCGGGGTTATAGGGATCGTCTGTCGTCAGCCCCACTGACGAGTCTGCCAGACGGTCCCAAAACGAAACTCCTTTTTCTGTTCCTACATGTAGAGGAATAATGGAGCAAGGATGGCCCGTATGCCAGCTGAAACTTCTTATTTAGAAACTCATCGAGACGACGCAGTTATGGAAGTTGCTTTAAGCCTGCTCCACCGTGAAATTTATTTCAGTCACAGTTCTGTTGAAACTGACGAGCAGCCGACCTATGCAAAACACCTACAATCCTTATGTTTCATTTTTTTTTCTTCTCTTCCTACTTCCTTTCCGTGACTCATCCTTCTTCGTATAAATAACTTAACTCGAACGTGTCTCCTAAATTCTCTACTACGTATTTCGTTTATTCAGATTTTACCGAGAAATCTGAAGGAAAATTGGAGGGGGGTAAGCAATGAGAATCTTACCTAGCAGCTTTAGCGACACCCGCGAGGACTTTGCTTCTGCTAAGGTTTCCGATCAGCCACAGGATCACTGGCAAGACAAGGATAATCAGCAAGTAAACGGAACCACGAGTCTCCATCTTTCTTCGCGGGCTGATGTCCGGCCTTGGGAGTTATTCTTGTCAAGGTCATCGGACTTGTCCCAGCTAAACGCGTCTGCCGTCCCTTTTTCAGACCTGTTCTAGGGATTCGATGTTCGGGCTGTTCGTTTAACTTCCCTCGGGGACAGAATTCGGATTCTCTGGGAACAGTAACCCTGTGTCCCTAACACTAGTCACTAGTTTGATCACTCGATCACTAGACCTTCTAATTAATCAACTGAATAATTGGACAACGTATCATAGCACAAAAATATTCACCAAGTCGTCGGTTTTTCACTCGAATAACGATAGAAACCTCCTTGTTCACTGAATTGCACTTCGAAGAAAAATAATAGACAAAGCAGACGGTAAGGATGAGAAAGTTCCTTGAACCCCGAAATATCCCGTGGTAGAGAGGCGACTGGTGGAAACGGCCCAAACATCCGCTCTCGAAGCCAGCCAAAATTTCGATGAACGAGTTTTTCTTAGCACGGCCACGTTGCGTCTGTTGGCCGAGGTGATCGTAGGATCTGGCGAAGTCGGTGTAGTATGCGTAGGACAGAAAAGAGGATGGTGGGGCGATGACAAACGACCGAGTCCGGCCATATTTAGCTCGCAGACGTGTCCGGCCTCTTTTTCGCGGCGACCAGTCCCATCAGCGGCACCGGAAACCGGGATCACCCGTCGCAAGAAAGTGGATCTTGACCTGGGAGAAGTTTTATAGGACCACTGGCCGACCGAACCGACTGGACACTGACTATCCTGACCCATTATGTCCGCCACCCTTTCGAGACAGCCAGATTTTTGATCTTGGGAAAGAAACTTTATTAAGTCTCGTCACGCTAGCTTAGATTTAATCGACGCCTCGAAGTAGGTGTTAATTTTGACTTAACCTTGCCTCACCTTTCCCCACATCGTTTAGAGAAACTTAAACAATGGACGGCGGATCTTACGCAACTGAACGTCTCGAATCTGATGCCGAAAAAAAGTTGGTTAATTGTCTGCGATTCCTACACCAGTTGATTGTTCTTGGCTAAAGTTTCAGGCGGACCTTGAAGAAACCCCTCTTATATAACTTTTTTATTTCTTCACGACAAATACAAGCTGTTCCATTTCGAAATTATAAACCGACGAATTAATTAAATATCCCAAGTTCCTGGTCGACTGGCAGAAAATCTTTTCCAACAAACAGTCTCGGATAAAAAATGAAAGTTTCACGGGTCAGTGTCGTTCGATTGAACGCGAAAGAGACTGGACGGTGCAAAAGTAACGACACGAGTCGTCGAAGATTGCGTTGTCTCGTCAATGGTCCAGCGAAGCGAACCAAAGTCTAGCTTTCCAATTTCGCCGTGTTCCCCGTAGCACAGCTTCACTTTCGATGACTATGCCTCGATCATCACGGATAGCCGAATCCGAGCCTTTGCGGAGGCAAAGTGGACGCGAATCGCGGGCAACTTTCACGGTTGTCCCACTCGCGCACGATTTTATTTCTGTCGGGATTGTTCCACTTTTCTGACGCGCCCATAAAGGTCCGCTCTGTACCATCGAACAGGAGGAAAATAGTCTACCAGTGCAACGATGATGTTAAAGCTGATGAGCACTGACAGGAAATCATCAAAGGATGCCGAGTGTTCAAGGAAAAGTGACTGTCTCTGGCGCGACTGTTCTCAGGGAAAGTAAACACTTGTATCCTCCATTTCCATCGACAACTATTGCAGTCATAACTAGTTGCATGCAGGTTATATAAAGGCAAATGGAAGTCGACGGAAACGCGTGTTATAAAGACATTGCGCGCACATGTTAAGCAGTGAGTTTTCTGGAATTCACCGTCTCATGAAACGGTTTCACTCGATCGTCTCAGCAGGACGATTCCCCGGGATCATCGGACGTAATGATCCGCGATGGATCATTAATGGATCTGGATCGTGACGGAGCGTGTTGGACGCGGTTATTCGAGCATGCAGAACGAGCTACGTGCGTAACGTATGTACGATTCCCGTCTATCCTCCAACCTGTTCTACGTCGTAGTCGGAACGGTGAAAGGAATGGAAGCGATTATAGCGTGACATGCACAAGGGGAGTGCTACGGGAACAACCGGTGACATCAACGGCGGCTGTTTGCTGCATTAACCGCCGTCGATAAAGATCTAAATGTGTGAGACTATAGGCTTGAAAAGAGGTTATTTTCTTTTTTTCTCCGAACATAATACATCTTTTCGAGATTCGTTTGATGAGAAGTAGCGAGAGGTTTGAATAACGATTGGTTGGATCGGGGCGGCCCCTGAATCACGGCAACCCGAACGCGGACTTACAGAGGGCGCTGGCGGCGAACCAAGGGAATAACTATGAACAGCGATGTAATTTCGTCTATCGGCATAAAACACGTCGATTTCTTGAGAAATTTTCGAATTTACAAATCGAGGAATTGACCACCCATCGTACTATCCAATCCTAAGGATTCCATAGTTAAAAGATAATATCCAGAGTTGAATTGACGCGGTGATTGGAATAAAGAACCATGGTCACTCGTTCAATGGGCATCAATTGACCACGGTCATTGTTGTTTTCATCAGTTGCCATTATCACCGGCTTCGCCTCTATATTATTCCGATAATGCGATTGGAGGCAACCTGTTGTTATCCATCCACGTCTGCCGGTTCGATAGGCGGAACTAGTTTGGAAAGCTGTTCGCCGGTTCACGCCCATCGAGCGGAGTTTGATAAAAGAAATCATTTCGCTGGAAATCGCGTGCTTATCGTCTGGCCGTGAAAAAAAAAAAAAAAAAGAGGAAAAAGGAAGAATTGCGTGTTTTGTGAACGATAACGTCGGTAACGAAGGAAACGACCGTCTCACGTGTTGGGCTATCTTATACGTTGGCACCTCTAGTAGGAAGTGACCTTTGAGAAAGAGGTCAAAGCAAAGAGTCGATTACTGTAGCCAGTCATCAGGCAGGTTTCGTATCGAATATCGTTGGCCTTATCATCGAACGAGGTGTCATTTTGTGCGGACGTGTTCGTCCGGTCTAGAACCGGTTCGACTCGATAGTTCATCGATTGCCCGCTAATCCGAGATCACTTCCTGCTTCGATTAGCTGATTTTTAACGTCTCTCACCAGTCTCTCTTGGCGATACAATTTAATTACAAGCCGTTACTCCTATCGATACCGATAGCATTATGTTTCTTATCAAAAGGAAGACAATATATTTCATTTTATACCACCGCTAACTCTGTTTAAAGCAAAAGCTTTTGAATTACGTTGCTCGACATCCAATGGATTTATACAAAGGAGAGGAAATCCTGATTGGAATCGATGAAGGGAGTTAATTGGAATCGGAGGTGACGGTCGAGAAAGAGGAACGCTTATCCGTGGTGGATACCACGCCTAAACCTGTTGCTGGCGACCTGGAAAACCAGCGCACTCGACATCTTTCAGGTCAAACAGAGCAAACCCGGATTACAACCGGGCATACTGTTCAGAAGACCAACCACCAAGTTTCTAACCTTGTTCATCGAGAAAAGAGTTGGAATTTAGATGCAATTCGATTCGA